CTGGGCAGGGGCGCCCCCTAGTGCCCAGCGCGGGCCGCTGCCGCCCTGCTGCCCCTGGGGCCCTGAGGAGCAACTTTTTCCCCAGGGGCCTGGGCAGGAGAAGGGCATCCCTGGGGTGATGCTTAAAAAAGGAGTCTCCACGAAGGGGACCCCGGGAGCCCTCCCTGCTGCCCTCCCGTGTTGCTCGAAATGATGTCACTTGCCATCCTACTGAAGGAAACGGGTTAGCTCTAGGACCACCCTCTCCGGGCGCCAATACGGGCGCAGCCAGTTGTCCCCTGGAAATGTAAATCTCGGTCCCCTCAGCCTGCCCCAGCCCTGCACACACCCGAGGCTGGCGGGCGCAGCTGAGGTGGGGTGAAGCCCTGCGGAGGGACGGTCTTGGCACGCTGGTCAGGATGCTGCCCTTGCCTGGCTTCCCGCCAGCGCCATGATCAGGAAAAGAGCCAGGCCAGCCAGAGGCAGAGCCACATGCCTCCCACCCTCCCGCGGGCCACACTCTTCTTGGGTCCCCAGCAGCCTGGCATGACTCACCTGGTTGGCAGCACTTTAAGATAGGTTGCCAGAGCTGAGTCACAGCTGTGACCTGCCGTCCTAGCTTAGTTCAGGTAGACAGGGAGGAAAAAAGGCAAAACATCAGGGCCCACTAGGTGGCACAAAGAAATGCCAGCCTCCTTGTGGCTCTGTGGTGACCATGCCAGCCTTCTCACCAGGCACCCCCACCCCTGCACCTGGTAACCAAAGCAACACACAAATGCCACAGGTGGCACAGAGGTAAGGGCAGCTGGGGAGAGTCCCTGGGTGGGTGTGCCCAGGTCTCACAACCTGTCACACCTTTCTGTGACCCAGCCCCCCTGACAAATGCCTTCCAGCTGGCACAAATCACTGTCATCACAGCCAAGTCCAAGGGCAGGGGGGTAAGAATGCCTCCTGCAGCTATCAATACAGGTGTGAACAGGAGCAGGCACAAGGGCCTTCAGGACAAAGACTGGGCCAGAGCACCTCCCCATTTGCACAAGTCAAGGCAACTGGCCTTGGGGTAAAGAACAGGATGGGTGAGGAAACGGGAAGCTTGTGGGGCTGGGGCTTCTTTGTGGTGGAGGTAGAAGCTGAGAGGGTCCAGGTAGGCATGGGGGGATATCAACTGCTCCTGCCCCCTGCCCTTCTTCAACAGACAGAAACAGTTTCCACATAGTCAGGGAGCACTCACTCAAGCCAATGGGGAAAGAAAGATATTGAGAACAAGAGTTCCCTCCAAGAATAAAGAGCCTCTACCCCGATTCCATCTCCTCACTCAGAGCCCACTGCCGTCCCACTCCCTCTCTGCCCTCCCTCCCATCACATGACCCTCTGCTTCTAGCCATTTGATCCCTGGAAGACTTCTGAAAACCTAGGCCAGTTCTCACTTTCCTGACAAGTTAAGGAAGTGAGTTTATGTGGGGACATTACCCTGAGAGGCTCCTCCAGCTATTCATCCTGAAAACATTTGTAGCACCAGGCCCCGTGGGGATGTGGAGATGAGTAAAATGCTTTCCTTGAGGGGCTTACAGTCCAGCTGCCCTGCCCTTGGCCTGGCTGGAAGCCCAGTGGGAAGTCTAGGAACTTCCCAGCCCAGACTGCGGTCTCTGTTCCCCACACTGTTCCAGGCACTGCAGCATGTGTGTGGCCGGCTGGGGGGGCTGAGGGGGGGCAGGAGGGGAGGCAGTGCCATGCCCGTCCATGACAGATCCCGCAGTCTGCTGTGGCTGTACAGCCTGAGAGATCTTCTTGCTTTCCAGATTCTGAGTTGGGAGATGGAAATGAAAACACTTATGAAAGCAACAGCCGGGTCATCTAGCAAGGAGCTGGCCATGGAGCTCGGCAGAGACCTCTCCCCCAGCCACCCTTTCTATGTCCTCAGATGCCTCCCTCCCTCCTCCTCTTTACTGAAACCGAGACCAGTGTGTCCTCAGTTACCATTTGCACTTTATGCCACTCTCTTCTTGGGGCCTGGCTTGAGCGTCTACGGACAGCAACAGCTACCAGCCCAGTCCCAGACAGCGTAGGCCAAGCAGCCTTGCCTTGCTGAGCACCCACAGGCTGCCCTGCTGCTGCCCCTCAACCCAGAATCCCCATGGGACCCAGCAGCCCCGACAAGTCCAGTGGCCTGGGGTCCCTCTGCTGAGGGCACCTGTTCAGGCCTCCACCCTGAGTGGAATCGAGCCGTGTATTCAGTAAACTGACTTAATTCACCCAGCTTTGTTTTGAGCTTATTTCAGTCGCATTGGGCAAAGGCTTGGGGCCTCCAACTGGGAGGACGGGGAAGCCCAGCTCACAGTCCCCTCCCCACCTCCACTTCTCCTTGCTCTGCACCATCACTGTCAGAGGGATGACACACCTGTGGCCTGGTAAGGACCTGATTGGTATGTGGACTCCACGCTTCTCTCCTAATTACATTTTAGGGCTAAAGACCAGATCAAACGGGGTGAAAAAAGACCAAAGAAGGCTCATGAGAAGTGTGTGTGTGTGTGTGTGTGTGTGTGTGTGTCGTCAAAAAATAAAAGATGGAGCACAAACTGACACATGCAAAATTATGCCAAGTAAAATAAGCCAGACATGAAAGACTACCTATTGTATGACCTATTTATATGCAGTTTCTAGAAAAGGCAAAACTGTAGAGACAGAAAGATCCGTGGTCACGGGGGTTGGGACCAGGAACAGAGAGACTAACTGCAGACAGCTGGAGAGGACGCTGGCTGCTGACGGTGCCCTAAAGCAGGTTCGTGCAGGTGTTTACACAACTGGACGAATTTACTAAAGTTCATTAAACTCTACTTAATATGAGCGAACCCTATGGCCCTGGCCAGTGTGGCTCAGTTGGTTAGAATGTCGTCCCGCAGACTGAAGGGTCGCAGGTTCAATTCCCAGTCAGGGCACAAACCCAGGTTGTGGGTTTGATCCTGGGTCGGGGTGCATGGAGGAGGCAACCAACTGATGTTTCTATCTCACATCAATGTTTCTCTCCCTCTCCCTCCCCCTCCCCCTCCTTC